AAATAATATGCCAAATGCTTTTATAATTTGATTATGCATTTCATGGTTGCATATATATATATATATATATATATATATATATATATATAAATGTGGTGCTGTGGAGGCACATGTAAGTTCATGTAAGTTATGTTTGATTATAGGAATAATTGATGATATGATATGTGATTGACTAATGTTGAGCTCATAAAACTGCACCTAGGGTGTTTGTAATTTAGCCAAAGATGTGAAGTACATGCCTGTTTATTTACGTCACCTCCCGCACTATATGCTCATATTGGATCCAACTTAGGTGCACAGTCTTGTCATACAGACCTTAATTATGGTTCCGACTCGTAGGTGACTAGCGATTTATCGTCCGGCTATTATGAGAGAGTAAAATTGAGCATAACTATATTACACCTAATCTTGTCGTACAGACCCCTTTTTAGTGGTTCTGACTTATGTGTAGTATATTGCCGTATATGTCATTGTAGTGACTCTGGCTAGATTGACTTTTGAGTTATGAATTCAGCTGTACAGACCACCTCAGGGGTTTCGGCTAACATATCATATTTCCATGAAATCGTTGTTACCTGGATTGTTTACTTTGTTATATTTTGGCATGACATACATATGAATATGATTATGTGAAGTATGAAGTGAATTGTTATGATTTCATATATATATATATATATATATGTATGTATATGTATATCTATGTATATACTTATATCTTAATTCTGGGAAAATCTTACATGTTTTACAGCAAGGGGGTTAGTATGTTGATAAATGAAATGATTTTGTAAAACATTTGTTTTTGCCCACTCACGTTTTCTGTTTTGCGCCCCTCTAGGTTTTAAGAAGCTTGTTGTTGGTGGCTTGAGGACGTCGGCAATTCTTACTTATCTAAATAATAGTAGGACATTCCTGGTACTGTACTTGTCCTATTGGACTGCACTTAGACTTTTATGCTTTGATTATGAGTGTTTACTGTTGTAACTAACTCCTATCACTTTCTGTTTAGTACTGCATTCTAGTAATTTGGTTTTTAATTATTCATATATTTCTTATATTTATTGCTTCCGCACTGTGCACATGGCTACGTCACTCTCACGTGACGGCCAGCATGCCTTGATCTCGATCGGGTGTGTCATTAATCAGTTCAATATATAGGTAAAAATCGTTCAATATATATATATATATATATTATATATATATATAGGTAAGTAAGTTTATTCTTCTTCCTTCTTTTATTAAGATTTTTATTTTATTTTAACATAGAAATACGCTAACATGCTAGTAACCTAATTATTTATTTTTAGTATAAAAATATATTTTACACTAATAATGAAGGGAACTTCGGTTAAGCTACATAATGAGTAACTTAATTTAGTATTAAATTTGTAATCTATAAGATTCGAACCGAATATTTTTTTATTTATAAATGGAAAAAAATATCTCAATATCAAGAATCCAATCCATTCTTAAGAATAAATGTTTTTAATATGAAGACATTATGGGATAAAGTTGCAGAAGTGGTTGAGGAAAGGGACAATGATGAATTGCAGCTGTAAAGATGTGAGGGAAATGAGGGGACTTGTTTTCTGAAAGGTTCTCTTGCCCAAGAAAATAAGGAAGCATTACGCGGATTGATTACACTTGTACAAAACACTTAAAAACCCTATGGCTGAAAGGACCATATATATAGTAGCTTAGCTAAATATTAAAAATATTGGACCAATTAATATTAGGTTGACGGGGGAAACATTGTTCAACTTCACCATCAACACACCTATATCTGACTTTGCATGGGTGCTTGCCAGTTGCCTTTGTAAGGAGAAACACGATTATGAACCGAATTTATTGTTATCGGACATGCAACATGCATCCTAGGGATCTATCAATTTGGACCATTAAAATTTGATCAAACGGTTAAAGTTATCATAATTATTAAAGTGAATTCTTGTTTATAGCTGTTTTATCAAATTTCAATGCTAAGGAGACTTTAGTCTCAAAAGTAATATTTTGCATGAACTTTCTATTATAATGATATTTTATGTGCTAATATTATAAAAATATTGTGCAAAAAAGCATAAGATTTCACAAGGTGCACGACGAATCCCACTTTTGATAGAGTCTTACTAACATTTCTCTATTTTTGGGAGAGTCTTATTGCTGCTAAGGCTTCACTACTCACATTGCATACAAGAGTAAGGCTGGTTTGGTATTGATGTGTTTTGAAAAAAAAACTGTTTCTGCTGTGCTGCGAGAATAAGCTCATTTTTGCTGCTTCACGTTTTTCAGTTTTTTTTCACCAAAAACTGTGAAAATAAGTTGTTTTTAAATGTTTACCAAATATTTTTTTGAGCTCAATTTTTTTATACTCACTTTTTATAAAAGCATCTCAGTACTAGGTTTACGAACCTTAATCACTAGCACAGCAGTAGGGGTGGCCGTCAACATAGCCCCTAATCCGAACCTTAATCACTTATGAAGTAGTAGTATTTTAGGTTGGTTTTGTCATACTTTAAACCTTCATTTTCCAAGTTTAAACCAGTACAAACTAATTAATACTGTAAATATAACTAGGTTTACGTTGAATAGTAGCGCCCGCCAACCATCGAATTATCACCTATGTTTCATGCATGTATCACGTTAGTCTAATTGACAAATATAGTGGAAGTTAGGTAATTCAACTAACAGTCTTTTGGCTCGTTAAGTTAATTAATTAGTAGTTATTGCCCACTAAATAATTAATGGCTTTTCACTTGAAGCAAAGTAGATTAGTGCGTTTTTTTCTTTAACATGCATCAGTGTATAATATATAAGAATTTAAGAGTGAGTAAGCTAATCTTGATCACTATCATAGGGTGAGAACAAGCTTGATCACTCTTAAGCTAGCCCAAACTTGATCCAGCAGCCCCGATGTTAATTGTAAAAATATAGTAAAATCCTCGAATAAAAGTCAATAGAGTGGATGGACAAATGTCTACGTACAACCATGTGCAAAAAGCATAGGAAGCTTAAAATCGAAGCTTTAAGATCATCTTTAAAGGAAATGTTAAATTATAAGAGTCAAATTACAATTGATGACTGATGTGGTATTCTGAAGCCTTATGTCAAATTTTGTAATTCTCTAACCGAATTGTCAAATGTTATTTTATTATCTAAATAGAGCTTTAAATGATTGTAATTATTAAAAAATGTTGAAATAATTTTTTATGAGTAATACTATTCATACCATGTTTTTATACCACATTTCTATACCACCTTAGGTGGCATTTGATGTGGTCCACATCATTTGAAAAATTTGCAAAACCCAATGAAAGGAAGGAGAAAGACTCATTCTCGTATACTATAATCATCATTTAATTGACTAGTTTTTCTTAATTATTAGTTTATTAAATAATGAACTAAATTTAAAAATCTGATTAATTCAAATGATATAGCTATTCACATCAAATACTACCTAAGGTGATATGAAAATATGGTACAAAAACATGATATGAGTTGCATTACTCAATTTTTATTGAATGAAATGTTAGTGGAATAAGGGATCCACTATTAAAATGAATTAAAAATAAATTTGATATTAATGTCAAATTTAACATCAAATCATTAAGTCTTCAAATCCAATCAACAAATAACACTTCAATTGGAGAGACTTTTGATGTCACATATGTACAATATTATTCAACCTAAAATTTTGAAATCTCATTTCTCTAATCCTATCTTATTAAAAGAACAGAATCAATCAAAGGAAAAATTAGGTGTCTATATTGGTTTATTTGACCAATTGACTCGTGGCTGCATGTCCCTTTGGAATTTACTGCTTAAGATAGATAGATAGATCTGGTCCATGCCAATGATGTCATGCATAATAATAAATTTGAACGGGTGACGGTTGGTGGGTTAAATTTCCGACGACTATTATACTGTGGGAAGATTATAAAATAGTTATTTGAACAAATTGAAAAATCAATTATAAATATGTAATCACATGTTTTACTTAATAAATGTGGTTGATTATTTACTTAATGAGTGATGTTTTAGTGTGGTAGTTACAAATTTGTAACATGCGAGTTTCTTTCTTGATCTGACATTTTAGGTTCATGACATGATCTCGGTTATCACTAATATGGTTCAAGAAAATGAATTAATGAGTTAGAATTATGATAAGACAGGTTTTGATTTTCTCTATTGTAACGAAGTTATAGTTTTGATTATCTCATTAAAAAAAAAAGGTTTTTACTAGCAAATCAAGATTACTATTGAAGAAAAACGGAGACCAAGATAAATTCTGTCATACAATGATTGACGTATTTTCGTTACTTTCTTATCACATAATAGCTAACTTAAATTTTACTTTAAACCAATAAAAATGTGACACAAGTACATTGCTAATAATAGCACTGTATTATTAACACGAACGTTACAATGTCAGTATATCGTTGTCATATAATAGTTTTTTTGAAAGTAATTTTTAAATGACAAAAACATTTTAGATCAATATTTTGTAAAACTAATTCTTAATAAAAATACAAATGAATTATAAAATAATATTTAAACAAATTTCTATAAAATAATTTGAAATAAAAAATAATTTAATTAAAAACACTTTTAATCATTTTAAAATTACGCTCAAACAAGTCCTAATTGCTCTCCTAAACTAGGCATTCCCCTTCTTAAGTTCTTTTTTTTTTCCAAAATTTTTTTATGATCGAATTCCCAATCTTAAGTTAAATATAGACAAAGGCGTCAAAAGTCAAAAAGTTGCTCATCTTAGCTAGGCGTCAAATGGCAGGAACATCCACCCGGCACAAGGGCCCCACCAACACCTTCCACTCTCCTTCCCCGGCGCGTAATTCAACATCTCCCGCGAAGCCAAGACTACGAGAAGGGACACCTCGGGCAAAAACCGCAAATTACGAAGGGCAAAATCGACCATAAAAGGGTGGCGTGCTTTAGCGGCACAAAAGCTATGTCCTCTGAGCCACTCTGTCTACACAGTCCCCTACTCTATATACACACCCACACACTCTCTCGCTAGACCCAAAATTCACACCACCATCACTTTCTCTCTCTCTCTCTCTCCTCTTTTTCTCTTTCGCTGCAAGTTTCGGAGGGAGGAGGAGACAGCCGCGTCAGATTACATATCATCATCGACTCGTCGTCGAGATTCGCGCCTTGGAAAAAAAATCATAAAGAAACGAGCTAGAGGGGAAGATCTTCAGCGAATCAGGAAGTGATTTAAAGCAAAGGCGGCGAGAATTTATTATTCCCCTCTGGTTGCAGACTGTTAGAGAGAGAAAGTAGAGAGAGGGCGGTTTGGTTTGTTCATAAAAATCCTCTGAGAAAAATCAATTCTTTCTGCATTTTTTTATTTTTTATTTTTTGGGTTGTGGGATTTGTGATTAGCATTTCTCTTAGGTGGAAATAGTTGCGGGTTAGAGAGAGAAAAGGAGATAGAGGGTGGGGTTTGTTCATAAATATCCTCTTAAATTTTATTACTTTCTCCATTTTTTTTTATTTTTGGGCTTGTGGGATTTTGCGATTGGGGGGAAATAGTTGTGGGTTTTGTGTAAGAAGCGTCATCAATGTCATCATAAAGGCTTGGGAAGCGAATGGGGAGGGCGCAAGGGTCGACGATTTTGCTGTAACGTTTATGGTCTGCTGGTTGCGTGCTTTAGAGAGAGAAACAGAGAGAGTAAAGGAAGAAGGAGAAGGCATTTCTAGTCTTGGAATTTGGTTTGGTCCTCAAGGGCGGAGAGGGCTTTCGTCTCTGTTTTCGGCTGAGTGTTCCTCAGGGCCCGCCATTTTAGAGAGGGAGAGGCAGGAGAGAGAGAGTTGGCATTGCCCGCAGATTGAGAAGAAACGGAAACGGAGTCCATAATCTCTGTGGAGGAGCAGGACTTCGTCTGTAGGCGTTTGGTGCTGTAATTTCTGGTTGCTTCGAAGGGTATTGTGGTACAAAAATGAAGTTTATGAAGCTGGGGTCCAAGCCTGATGCATTTCAGGCTGATGGCAAGTTTATCAGGTAAAATGGGTTTTCACTTTTTCTCTGTGCTCATAATTTTTTGCATCACAAACTCCAATTTTTTTTCTAAAAACCCATTAAAATCCCTTTTCATATTTTTCATGTTTTGTTTTTAATATTTTTTTTTTGCCTCTCCCCGTCAATGCTATGAACTTGATGAACTTCTCTTAGATTCTGAATTACGGGTCTTTTTTTTTCTCTCTCTAGAATTGTGAGATTTCAAATGAATGAGGTCCTTCTCTCTCTAGAACCGTGAAATTGTTCATTTTTGCTTGACAGAACATGTGCGTTTGTGTTTTTTTCTGCAAGTATGCTCTGTTTTTGTACAGAGCTGGTGAATTGCTGCCACTGAATCGTGATAGAAAGGGGGTGAAATTACAAATTTGCCATTAGATGGTGATTTATATACCTATATACTGAAAAGGTTAAATATTAGCTGCCACCTTCCAAGAAGAGAACCCTTTATTTTTGTGATAGGAAAATTACAAGAAACTTTTGAGGAGATAATAAACAAGAGAAGAAAGCACATGGGCGTTTTTGTGCTGTTCTTATCATTGTTTTTCTCTCTGCCTTTAAAAGTATTGCTATTTTAATTTTGGAGAGTGTAGGGCTAAAGGGAGTTGTGGGGGTGTGGAAGCTGTCTTTCAGGATGTGGTCCTGCATTTGGAATGTCACTATTTTATTGAGTTTTGTGGTCCAAATATGGAAAAGTCGTATGGAGTACCCCCAAGATCTGTAGCCATCACGCCAGCGAAATTCTTCCGGTGAACGAGGAATTTAAACAAATTACCGGAGGTGTTTTTCTTCCGGTGGATTGTTTCGGCGTCATCTGAATAAATATGCAAATGATTGAAACTTGCTTAATTCTTGTATGTCTAGTTTCCTTGTGACATTTTAGTTTCAGTTACAACTCGAATCTGAAGTCTATAATCTGACATCGGTGTTGGAGTTTACCAAAAACCACCTCCTCATGGTAAAATCTTAACTAAGAAGAACGAAAATCTTGACGCGCTTAAGCCCGACAGTTATATTTGAATGTTTTGCAACTGCGTGCCTCGTAAGGATCCAATTATAGAGATATTTTGTAAATGCATGTCTTATTGTAGTTTCTATGATCCTTGTGTCTGTGTGATTAACTGGTTTTCATATGTTCATGCAGATATGTGTCGTCTGAACTGCAAACGGATGTCGTTATTAATGTTGGGGAAGTGAAGTTTTACCTTCACAAGGTATTTTTTCCTTGCCACCCTTTTTCATCAATTTACATGAATTTTTTACTATGATAGCATTGTTAGATTTGTTTGGAGCATATGAATGTTTTTTACGATTTATGTTTGTATGAACATAATAGTGGTGGTCAAATCTAAAATGTACGTGATTATTATTTAATGGTACATTTGTTACTCGAATTACTGCTGCTTTCTCTGCTGAAGCGTGCTCTGTTTCTTATTGTTGATCGTATCTGTTTTTCCAGTTCCCTCTCTTGTCCAAGAGCAATCGCCTGCAAAAACTAGTATCAAAAGCCAATGAGGATTCTGAAGAAATTGACATGGTTGATTTTCCTGGTGGGCCAAAATCCTTTGAAATTTGTGCAAAGTTTTGCTATGGAATGACTGTTACTCTCAACGCTTACAATGTTGTGGCTGCTCGATGTGCTGCTGAGTATCTGGAAATGACTGAGGGTGTTGATCACAGTAACCTAATATACAAAATTGAGGTGTTCCTTAACTCAAGCATCTTCCGTAGCTGGAAAGATTCCATTATTGTGCTACAAACCACTAAACCTCTTCTGTCGTGGTCTGAAGATCTGAAGATTGCTGGAAGATGCATAGACTCAATTGCTTCTAAAACATCTGTAGATCCTGCCAACATCACTTGGTCCTACACATATAACAGAAAATTAGCAGAGCCTGATAAAATTATTGAAGAAGGGATGAATTATCGAGACAAATTTGAAAAAGTTCCAAGGGATTGGTGGGTTGAAGACATATGTGAGCTGGATATTGATCTCTACAAACGAGTTATTATTGCTGTGAAATCGAAGGGAAGAATGGATGGCAGTGTTATTGGGGAGGCTCTGAAGACTTATGCAGTTAGATGGTTGCCAGATTCTGTTGATGCACTGGTTTCGGATGAACACGCCTTGAGGAACAAATCTCTGGTAGAAACAATTATTTGCTTATTGCCGTCTGACAAAGGTATGGGTTGTTCATCCAGTTTCTTGCTGAAACTTTTGAAAGTTTCTATTTTGGTTGGAGCAGACAAGTCGTTGAGGGAGGAGTTGGTGAAGAGGATCAGTTTGAAGTTGCATGAAGCTCGTGTAGGTGATTTGTTGATCCCCGCACGATCTCCTCAAATTACTATATATGACGTTGAGTTGGTTCAGTCTGTTGTGAGACAGTATGTGATGCATGAAAAGTATAAGTGGGATTTGGATGTTGTCGAGAAGAATGAAAAGGGGACTGATACTTTTATATTAGGGCATGGTTCGTTGTTGGGTGTTGGTAGACTGGTCGATGGGTATCTTGCGGAAATTGCACATGACCCAAATCTTAACCTCAGTAGTTTCGTAGAGTTGTCACAATCAGTTCCCGAGTCAGCCAGGCCAATTCACGATGGGTTGTACAAAGCCATTGACATCTACCTGAAGGTATGCGTTTAAGCCATGTCCACATGTTTATTTATTCTCCGTCATGCTTTTTGTTTCGCACTAGAGTTGCCTTGTCATGTTTCTGAGATTTAAGTAAAGAGGTTGCAGGAAGCTCTGATCTATTAGGATGTACCTTTTTTCTTTCAAACCTTAGCTGACCATTAGATCTGAAAGTGAAACTATTTGATGCCAAAAAACTTTCTTGTCGCTACAAGCATTGTAAACACTTTTGGATCTTACTTTGTTCTGTTTCCGTCAGGATGTGAATAAGATATTATTCAAATTATGTATGTTTAAAACTGTGCCATGTTCTATGCCTAATAAGTACTATAAGCGAGGAATGCGATCATGCGAGTCCCTGCTATTTATTTTGTCTTTGTAAATACTAAATTGTAATGAGAGACTTAGAATGCGACCAGATTGGTCGATTTCTGGGAAACATATACAGCCCTTCAGATTTGTGAATTATTTGCATGAATACTGATTAGCCCGCGTCTCCAGGAGCACCCTAATTTGACAAAGGCTGAAAGGAAAAGAATATGCGCATTGATGGACGTCAAGAAACTTACAGTGGAGGCATCGATGGATGCTGCACAGAACGAGCAGCTCCCACTTCGAGTCGTTGTTCAAGTTCTCTTCTTTGAGCAGATAAGATCTGCAGCTAGCGTTCAAGCCCTTAACAACCATCCCAGTGACACTTCACTTTCCACAACAAATTTGGACGAGGAATGTGAGAAGATAGCAGAAGAAAACTGCAAGCCGTTGGGAAAACAGATGAGCCAAATGAAGGTAACTGAAGAGTTCCAGAAGAACACAAAACTGGCAAAGAACAACAGCAAAAACAGCCGAAGTGGTGCGCAATTGCTTCCATCTAGGTCAAGGAGAATCTTCGATAAATTGTGGTCTGTGGGGAAGGGGCATGTAGAGAACAAGAGCTCCGAGACATCTGGGAGTTCTCATAGTCCAACTTCAAATGTTCCTGGTGATTCAAAGTCGGTTTCATCTTCGAGACACAGGAGGTATTCCATCTCGTAAATGGGGATTTCAGGGCTGAACGGAATTGAACGAGTTCAGAAAATTCCACTGCAAGTGTACAAAGGAGTAGGATTTGTTGTAGCTGATGATCATATTGTCCTTCAATCTATCAAGCATGTATTATCTCAAATGGAGTTTACTATAGTTACAATGTAATCAGTTTATCCGAGTGCCTTGTCTAACATCTTTTGGTTCCACTTGAAAATCGATCTGTGTTTCTGTTTAAGTGCTTGTTCTTTTGGAGTTGGAAGATCTCAGATCAGTTATTTCTTTCATCGTCTTCAAATTGAATTTCAAGTGTACGAAAAGTTACTAGTTATTGATCTATTGATATTCTTCTTTCTTACCTCAAAAAGAGGTATCAATTCGAATCCCTATTTTAGATTGACTAAAAAGGTCGTACCCAGTGCACAAGGCTACCGCTTTACGCAGAGTCTGGGAGAGGTGAATGTCGGCTAGCCTTACCCTCATTTATGGAGAGGCTGCTCCCAAGTCTCGAACCCGAGACCTACCGCTCATGGGCGAAGGCACTTGCCATCGCACCAAGTGCGACCTCTTATTGTTAGATGGTTGAGCTCATAAAAATCCAACCCAACCAACCGCTCATGGTCTAACCCGAGACCTACCGCTCATGGTTGATTATTAAAAAAAAAAGAACGAGAATTAAACCACATTATTGTTAGATGGTTGAGCTCATATTTTCCTTCCATGGAGTTTGATAGGGTGTAATTGATGATTTCAAGTAAAATTTTGATCCAATTTTCTTGAAATCTAGATTTGTGAATACTTAAAATACATAAGGATTTGCCTACACACTTTGGGTGTATAAACACATTTTTTTTTAGAAAATGAGAAGGAGAGAGGGAGAGAGAGAACGTTGGGGGGGGGGAGTGGGAGGTTTTTGTTTTTTTTTTTAATATTGAAGGTATTTTAACATCATCTTAGATCTCCAACTTTGGCCCATAACCTATTTTCCCCCCTCTATTCCCCACCCCCCCCAACACACAAAAATCCAACCCAACCAACCTTAAAATTGGACCTAAAACTGAAAACAAAGCCAGATTTAGCCCAGGATTAGTGGGATTAGGCCATCATATATGTATATTTTATTTAGTTTTATATTTATAAATTCATTGAATCCAACAGTTAAGATCTAATTTGATGAAATTCAATGGTAAAACAAGAGTTAATGGTCCAAATTTAAATCTAATGGCTAAAGTAATTAATATTTTTTTTTATGTGTTTCATATTTTTTTCTTAGTGTTTAACGAGTTTCATGGTGCTAGTTAGTGATTTTTCAATATTTGTTAGAATCTAAATATTTTTAGGTTAAAATGTTCATAAAATTAAATTAGAATAATCTACATAATTTTTTCTTTTAAAAAAGTTACTTTAAGAAAAAAATAATTTGGGGCTAAAGTTTTAGGCTAGAAGGGTTAGAGCAGAAAAACTATTTCTGGGTTAAAACCTAAATTTTATGGGCTAAAAGGTTTAGATTTTAGGCCAATGGTTGGAGATGGCCTTAGGTGTGGCTTCAATAAAAAACAGTAAAATTTAAACATGTGAAATTACATTATTGCCCATCATTTTTTTGTGTGATAGAAGACTAATTTGTCTTTTCACTCTCTTTTAGTTGACAAATAGAGTTTTATTAATTAGTAGAGATTATAAAATTTCTAAATTTTCTTGAATTTCTCAACTTTTAAAGTTCTTTAAACTTTTTTAAAATCCTAATTGAATACACTTGATTTCTAAGATAAATTCTTGATTGAATACATTTTGAATTTCCGAGAATTGCATAAAATACTGATTGAATACCCAAAATTTATTAATAGAATTAAAATTCTTCAAAATCCTAACTAAAGACTTTCGTTAAATCAGCTGATTCCAAACACATCACATCCAAACTCTTAATCATTGAATTTGAAGCTATAGAATCACTTGAAATACAAATCTTTTAAGTTGGATTGGTTACACAATTTTAACCAATGAAGCTACAATTCACTTGAGATGCCAAATATATATACTCTTGGTCAGTTTGGTTAGCAAAGTTCGAATACAGGATATCATTAAAACGAACACTTTTAACCGCTAAAGCTACAAATCCGCTTCATCTACAAATCCATTTTACCTACAAATCCCTTGACAATTAGCAACAAGTAAGAGAATATTCCTCCTGTTAATCAAATATATTCCTTGTATTAGTCAAATATAGAACGAAAAGGATGATCTTGTAATTTCAAACTTTGCTAGTATATAACGAAGGAAAATTAATGAAAAAAGTTTGAAAATTTTGAATTTTAATGGTAAGGATAAAATAAAGGGAACTTTAACGAAAAGCACCCGGTACTGTTCACTTTAACGAAAAACCACATTTTTACACTAAAAAGTCAATCCTGGTACTATTCACTTTACCCTTTATTTTGTCCTTATGATTAAAACTCAAAGTTTTCAAGCCCTTTTCATTAGTTTTCCTTAAAATAAATGGTAAAATAAATAGTATGAAGATTGACATTTTAATGTGAAAATGTAATTTTTCGTTAATTGGATAATCTTTCAAGTTCAAGTCTTTGACTCTCGTTTCTCTTCACCTCATCAACTCAATGATTACCCAATAATCCGTGAAACGATAGCCACAGATTAAACCGAATCAAAAGATGAAAGTCGATCGCAGTCACAGAAGAATCACCGCCGCCGCCGTGATTTCACTCGTCTTGTTACTCAGTCTCTCTCTGCTGCCCGCACTGAATCTTCATCCCAATGCAAAGCGTGGCTCGTCCAATCCATCCCCACCGACATGCCGGCTCTCCACCGCGTCCCCGGCGTCCTCTCCACCGGTAAACATCCATTTACCGCTCAAAATTCAAAATCCAGGAACATGGACGGATCCAGAAACATTTTCTAGTGGAGCAACTTCGAACGATGAAATTAAATTAAAATTTGGATACAATTCTATTAACTTATTTTCCAACAACATGATATGATTTTGGCTGAAGATTTTTCGTGGGAAAAAGAGTTTAGTGGGGCATATGCTCTGCTTCCGTCCATGCCCGGGAAGCAAAATCTTCACTTTTTCATTTATTTATATTTTAAAATGTTTTGTGATTGTAATTTGTGCAGCGGATGTGTTGGAATGGCTGGCGAAGAACTCGACGGAGAGACTGGACGTAATTGCTCAGTACTGGCAGCTAATTGCGCAGCCTGAAGATCCTCGTTCCGGGGATTTTGGGTACTCGAAAGAGGATTTGCAGAGGTTTGGAGCTCAGGAAGGTGCTTCTGTTTATGGCGCCATAGACGATGCTGCTAATCGCAATGTTTCCATCAGGTATGTACACCTTTGCACTTGGCAAAATAAGCAGCTTATTTGAAAATGCTTCTATGGAAAGCACGTATGTTCATAAAAGCTTTTATTAGAAGCTGCTTGTAAATTTTAATAAAATCTAAGTGCTGGCCCTGCTGGGGAATCACCTTTTTAACTTTCTTCTGACAAACATGGTAGAAGAACTTTTGGAAAAGCACCGTTGACGTTGCATCTGAAATCGCTTATTAGAAAGAACTGTGGCTCATAAACGTTTTGATTGGAAGTTCGATGAAGTTTTTAGTGTTTCTTGAAAAAGTACTTGTGAGTGCTTTCTAGAGAAGCACATAGCACTTCCAAGGGCGTGCTTTATAGCCGAGAATCACTTTTTATACCAAGCATTTTCAGATGCGATTTTGGTTGGCTAAAAACGTTTTTAGGCATTCTAAAGATTTTCGTACCAAGTTTTAAAGATAGAATGTGTTTTACTTATTTAAAAGTGATTATATTGTTTGTGTTACTGATGAAGTTTTAGCCTTATAGGCTACTATCCCACTCTGGTGTGTATCCCGACTATACCACAGAGCCATCCAACCTTGCTTCAGGAAGGCCAAATGTAAAGAATGTGACTTTGTTTGTTTAGTAAATGGTGGGGGTCCGGCGTAGTCCATGCCAAAGTCTGGATATCAGATCGCCGAGACGTGTATATTGGATCCGCAAACAATGACTGGAAATCTCTTACACAAGTAATTGTGGAACTTTGCTGCTTCTACAGATTTGTCCTGTTACTTTGTATAGGGTACTGTTTTAGCTTATAACGTCTTACTACTGAATGTTTGCAGGTGAAGGAACTTGGAATTTATCTCGTTGGTTGTCCGAAAATAGCAAGAAACGTTGAGACCTACTTTGAAAACCTATGGACACTTGCATCTCTTGATCCTACAACTCATACGACAACTGTTTCAGATAAGCAGTGGCAGGTTAACAGACAAGTTCCTTGCTGGTCACACTTCTTGGATTCTAAAGCGCGGTGTAGGTATAAAATGAAGCTTATTTCTAGTTTACGTTGCTGGGTATACATATCGAGATCTTTGCATCAAGTGTCTGGATATTCATACATTGACCTGGTTCTGATCATTTATGCATCTAGGGCACTGTATACTTTGCGCTTCAAGTATGATAATCTGGAAGTTGATCAATTCGTTGTTTTCGTCATTTAAGAGCAATTATCAATTCCTGGTTAGGTTGTATAACAACAGTGTGCTAACAAAATATATGGTTACGCGGTTCCTACAGTCCCTTTCAGTTAATTTTTCAGTTAACTTTAGTTAACACTTGTATAGTTATGTCACTGCAGTTCACCTCTTCCTCGATCGGTGGAGACTCACCATGTAGCAGGATACCCTATACTGAACGATCCCTACATGTTCAAATTGCCGCTGCAGACTCCTGGGTATAATGCTTCAAGCTTGCAGCCTCAGTCCAGCTATCTCTCTTTTGCTCCACCAGAGGTAACCAGACAATATCTACCATTTTGGTTTCTCAAGTTTTCAATTTCGTCATCATGTTTTCATTTTTTATCTTGACGAAAATTGTCATCTGCAGTTGACATTTGGTAGGTACCAGGCTGATGAACAGGCTTGGATAGAGACTATTCATTCTGTAAGAAGTGGAGGAACGGTTCGGATTAGTACCATGGACTGGCTTGGTCAGTCCCAGTATACGAAACCAACGGTTTACTGGTCATCCCTCTCCTCTGCAATATCTGAGGTACCTTCCACTGTCATTACTTCTGCTCTTGCACTCATGCTTCTCCGACTTCTTAAAACAAGGATAGCTACTTGTCTCTTCCTTCTCGTTTTATTATTCAATCTTAAGACTAGAAAGAACGAGGGAGAAGTGCTGGAGAGAAAAGTGGAGCGTGACAATCACTTCTCAGAGAACACTTACAAAAATGCCTAAATTGTAATTGATAGGTTGTATTCTCAAAGAAAGCAACAGTGAAAATATTGGTAGCATACTGGGCACATTTTATCAACGGCACAGACCAGTACCTAAAATCTCTTCTCTACTCCAACGTCCTTTGCTCTTCGTCTACGTATAACCATTGCGCTGGGAAAGTTGAGATCAAGTACTATGTAGTCCCGGGTTTCAATTTGACCGGACCTGCCACTGCCAATGGTACTGACACCAGAAACATATACCCCGGTACACCAGGGTCAACCACGGAAAGTATGCAGTCAGCGACGTTCGAGCTCACATAGGCACGAGCAATCTCATTTGGGATTACTTTTATACAACAGCTGGTGTCAGCTTTGGTACATACAACCCTGCCATTGTTTCTCAGCTTCAAGAAGTTTTCAACGCCGACTGGGATTCCCCCTATGCCGTGCCAGTTGAAGAGCTGGGAGAAGGTAGGGCTTGTCCAAGTTGATGAGCACTTCAATTTGTTACTATGCCATGAAGATAGAATGTACATGAAAGAGCTGAAATGTACATTGCTTTCGACTTCCTTTTTATTCGACAAGACGAGATTCTAAACTACTGAAATTTACATTGCTTTTGGATTTGGATACAATTGGAAATTGTAATTCAGTTGCTTAGCAAGCTCGTGGTGAAATAAACTGGATGTTCTTTGTAATTTTATCTGAATAAAGTCATTCTTTAAGTCTTATTTGCCGAAAGGATAATTTTTTAGTATGTTGTCGATATCTAATCGATTTTCTTCTCAGCGTGTCATTGATATTTAATTTTGATCCATTAATCAATTGATGTCTGGTTTATGATCATTTTACTCAGTTTTTCTATTTTACGGTTTAAGAGAAATTATTAGTCTCCGAGGAAGTACGTGAGTCGGAGAGGAAGAAGCTCTCTCTCTCCTCACATAGCCTTTTCTGCTCAGCCAAGCTATGCCCAATACGACGACGTCCAGGACCTGGTCTCTCTCTCTCTCTCTCTCTCTCTCATCATGTCATTTCCACAGAAGCACAAATCTTTCTTCTTATTATTAATTCAATTTGGGTTTTTGGGTTTTGTTGCAAAGCATCCGTTAATTTGTTTACGAATGTAAAAACTCAGGTTACGGTGGAGGGAAGAGCTAAATCGAGAGCAGCAATTCTCAACAATTCCATGGTTAGTGTCGTTTCTATTTCTTAAATCTTGTTGCTTCCTAAGAGTTTTTGTTATGATGGTGTTGCTTATTTCGGATAAATTTTGAATCTTTTGATGTTTTTGCTCTTGGGTTTTATAGGCAGCTCGACTAAAGAGACTGTATGAATCATGGGAGGATAACCCGGACATTGGATTTGTCTTGATGAAGGTAGTATGTTGTTCCCTTGCGGGACACGGTTTTCGGGTTTAAGGCATCATGCTTTTTTTTCATTTATCGGATTATTTAACTTCTTGCAATGTGCTGAGAATACTAATTTTGAAAGAATACTTGATGTTTTCCCTTGTGAAGGGAAGCGGGAGGGCCTTCTGCTCTGGCGCAGATGCTGTTAGCCTCTATGAACTAGTTAATGAAGGTAACTCAATCTTTTGTTTTGTTTACGTCTCTACACCTCGTGTAGTTCAGGGTATCAACTCAAGATTGATTGTTTTCTAGTTTCATTGACATAATGAGAACAAATTCTTCAATACTGTATTTTTAGTATACATAATGACGTATTTTAAAATTCGATCATAAACGTTCAACGGATTTGGGAATGCCATTTCTACTTTCTAATAATGAACCTTTTCTTCACTGCTTATTTCTTGCTTGTTTTTTGGGCTGATTTGAGATGCATCACTGTGATTAGACCCTTTTTTTGTGGTACTTTTCATGCACATTTTCACGCTGTTTGGAGCATAGTTCTCTTTCTGGTCCTAAATGTTTGATACTTACACGGCACTGTTGGTTTTATCAAATGCATTAACTATGTGCAGGGGATGTTGATGAATGTAAGAAGTTTTTTGAGACATTGTATAAGTTTGTATATATTCAAGGAACGTACCTGAAGCCGCATGTGAGTGTTGACCTTTTCTAAACCAGTGTGCTTTGTACTATACTAGCAGTGAATCAGTGTCGTGTAATCGTATTACAGAATTTACAACCTGAGTTGTAGGCTTGTAGCACACCAAAGTTAAATATGTTATGCATAGAAATGTCCTTTTCAGGTTCCTATCAATACTTACATGTCACTTTTGATAATCACTTGATCATATTTGTGCAGGTAGCTATCATGTATGGTACCACCATGGGAGCTGGGGCTGGAATTGCAATCCCAGGAATGTTTTGGGTGGTGACTGATAAAACTGTATGTGCTGCTGCTTATTTTGCAAATCAGTTTTGCTAGATGTTGGTGTTGTGGTTTTTGTTTAAGGCTGAATTATTTCATATATTCATGAAGAAGATTTTAGCAAAACCATGTATCATGTGACACCTATTCTGTTTCTGATTGGATCACACCACTTTTTAGGTGTTGTGATTTGAAGTTTTAACATTAAACTTTGATGAAGATATGAATATGGGGGAGGAGGAGATGGTTAATTGGTTCACATATACTTGAGAGTTTAAACTACTGAACATCGTAAGTGCAAGTTTTACAATGCATACATGGTGCAACATTATTCTGTGAATAAGATGAACTATTGCTATACTAGGAAAAGTAACGTTTTTTGCTAAGAAATCGTTTTCAAGTTTGGAGAAAACCTTATGCGTCAAAGACTCTCCTAGGTATGCTTTTTGTCACCTTGAGAGAAGCAGCTTCCAGTATTCTGAAAAAGAAAACAACTCTTCCAAATGAAGTCTGTCAATTCTTTTCAACTGTGCTTGATTTTTGCAGATTTTTTCGAATCCAGAGGCTCAGATAGCTTTCCATCCTGATGCAGGGGCTTCCTTTTATCTGTCTCGTCTACCTGGCTACCTAGGTATCATATACTTTGTACATTTGAGAGGAGAATACTTGGCTCTTACAGGAGACAAGTTTAATGGTGTAGAGATGATCGCCTGTCGCCTTGCTACGCACTAAACGTTAATTGCGGTTTGTTTAAACTGCACTTTATTCTTCTGTTTCCTTGTTTCAATATTTCATCATTAATCTGCATCTGACAGTCACCCAAACTCTTCCTGCCAGAGAATAAACGAAGCCTCCCTTTGAGTTTGATAGTTTCTTTACTATCGGTGAGTTAGCAGGTTATGGAGTTGGACCTGTATTGATTTTATTCTCTATGCCTGACTTTCATTCGTGCATCCAGATACGTGAGGGCAGATTTCAACCTCTTGATCAGTGTCTGGCTCGTGAATATCGTACATCTCTTGCTGCAATTTCCAACCTGGTCTCTAGTGATTTCTCTGAGGTATGTGATTCTCCAAGTTCAATGGAGTGAATCTCTTCTTTCGTTTTTTGGTTAATCTGCTATTACATTGCCCCGTTTATATCTATCTATAGGGCGTTTGAGCAAGATTGGTAGACAAGGACTTCGCACCCAAGGTACCTAGTTTACTTCTAGTCGGAGAAAATTACAGCCTTTTTGAAAAAAAAATTCCCTCAAGCTGTGATCATATAATTGATTTTCATCCAATTCTGCAGTGGAACCCTCGTAGTTTCAAAGATGTGTCCAAAGACATGGTTGATTGCTATTTCTCGCCACTTCCCGAAGTTGAGCCGGAGCCGGAGCTGCCGACAGCTATGCGAGAGCCATTTATGCAAGAGACGGATTCACCCAAAAAATGATACGGAAAGAGTTGTATCATCTGAAAGTAGAGGCTTTTAGTTGCCAAGAGCTTCTGGAGGATATGAATACAAAGCGTTGTCTTCACTTTCTCAGACCACCATGAACTTGTCCTTATGTGGTTTTTGCCTTATTGGTTCACATCCAGATGAGTTCTATATTTACCACTTCTTGTTTTTCTTCTCAATAAGTTTTGCATAAAGTCCCCTTCCATTGAGTGATTCTTCAAATAATCTTATTTGAAGAACACTTTGAGGATTACTCCCGAATTCATTCCGATCGTACTCGCAAGAAATTAAATAAATCTGAAACCATTAAGGCATCCAATTCTAATGATAAGTACTGACGAATACAGTCATTCAAAGAAACTAAAATGAACACCATTTGATTTAACGATCGTATAATTTTCGATTTTAGTGATTTTTCGTAAAAATGATTTTTGGGACCTAAAGAATAAGTTTGGATTGTTCAAATACAAATGTAAAGTGATCCAAACAAACAAGTGATCCATCAAATTTTTTGGGGCGGAAGATTTGAACCTGAATGCAAGAGGGCAAGCACATTGCCCTTATCAAGTGGACTAGCCCACATTTTCAGATTCTCTAAAGAGACCCTTAGAATTTCAAATGTCCTAATAATAAGTTGTAGCAACAAAATATACTAAAGCTGCCGATTGATACTAATCAAAATATTCATGAGTCAGATTTAGGGTTCCCCCATTCCACAATTACTCCTTCACTCTTAAGAAAACCGGGTCTCGTATTTCAAACTGATCCCCATGCTGAACAGCTCCTGGCACAGTAACTTCGCTCCATACGGGACGTTTGCCTTCACAAGATCATCTGCAGAATTGCAATTCCGGCAGTACGGACCCCTGATCTTACGTCCACCTTCAACTGACCGTTGGATCACATTAGCTACGTGTTCGCATTTCTGGCAGATATACACCTGGGAGGAGTCACTGAGAGTGAAGAGGCGCTCATGTAAGTTTGCTGAAGCTCCGTGTGCTATTAGGCAGTCACGTTCCATTTCTCCAAACTTGATCCCTCCAAATCGCTTCCGATCTGCCACTGGCTGACGGGTGAGAGGGTGGACTGGCCCAGTGTTCCGGAACTTTACTTTGTCTTCAGACATGTGAATCAGACGCTGATAAAAGGTGGGGCCCATGAATATGAGGGAACGAACCATCTGACCGGTGCCACCACTGTATACTCTCTCTTTTCCGCATCTTGAAAATCCAGCCCTGACATAGATATTAAACGACACATTAACAACTCTAATCCATTCTACGGGGAAAATAGGAAAGACCATCTGCTTGTATGCGAGAACAATTCATAGACATGTGACCTACCAACTAATAACATCTAAAGTTTAAATGGAACCGATAACTGAAAAACGAAGGGTCAAAATGATTGTACTCAGAAACATTTAGGGAAAGCATGGGAGTGAAGTTATGCAGGGTACCCTGGCACATACTCAGGACAACCCAGTGAAGAGAGATTTTAACATTCTTTTATATAGCAACAGACATTCGGTAAAAACTCAGACTAATTTTAGCAAGCCACTTAAATTGCCCGTTGAATGTCCAGAGAGAGAAATTTCAACAGAAAATGCCAGGGCTGAGAGTCTGAGAAGTAAAAAGATGTCAGGGTGGAATGTGAAATTAAAATGGACTGTTTTACAGTGAAGTGGAAGTATATAAGTCATGAAATAGAACGACACGGTTACCTATGCAGTTGTTTTGCGATGTCATCGACAGAGAGAGTAGAGAACGGGGTGGCATATCTCTTCTGACCACCAGAGGCGATTCCCTTCCCTAAAGCAGCTTCTAAGAGTTGACCAGGAGTTTGTCTTGACGGAAATGCATGGGGATTTATAACAATATCTGGAACTATCCCCTGTACTGTGAAAGGGAAGTTCTCTTGGGACTCCAGAAAACCTAGAACCCCCTTTTGCCCATGCATGCTCGAGAACTTGTCTCCAAGACACGGTGAGCGAACCTATTCAAAAAGTTACAATATAATTAGTGAATGGAAATTCTTAAACTGGACTTAATAGAAACAATAGGCATGCCGCCTTAAAAGAAATTATTTCACTGTCAGATTTACCTGTCTCATTGAAACAACAGCAAAGTTCTTTCCGTCATCATTAGAAGAAAGCACAACCTTCTGAACCATTCCCCTTTCGGTGTGCTTCAGTTTGATGCTATGATCAGCTCCTGATTCACTGCACCTCCCGATGATGATATCACCACTCTGCAAGTTTGCACCGACATATGGAAAGCCGTCCTCATCGAGATTGTCAACACGGCCAAACTTGCTCTGCATCTTGCCAAAATTGACACAATCATCAGGCTTCCGCCTTTTTTCCAGGGAGTCCTTGTTGTCAACCTCAGCCTTGTAACTTCTGATATGCTCAGATCGGAACATACCACGTTCCAATGATGCCCGGTTCATTACTATGCTATCCTCTTGGTTGAATCCCAAGTGAACATTGACTGCCACAATCGCATTCTGACCATTGTGCAATTCGGGCTTTGGCAAAACTCTGTTTTGACCCAGTTGGTGTCCTGGTTTGCCAAGGCAGTCCGACGTCATTGTCTGAAAAAGTGGCCTCTGGGGATAGTGCAGTTGGTGAGACAGCGTATCCACTCGAAGGTTAGGATTTGTGGTAGAAAACCCAATAGCCTGCGCCGAGTGCTTCTGGGCCTGGTAGAGGACCCTCCTTGCATGGTCATGATTCGCAAATGGGATAATGCTACAGCTTAAACCCAACAGGAATGACATGTCCAGCTCACAGTGTGTGTACTTTACAGCTGATTTTCCCTTTTCTTCCATAAACAGATATTTAATGCCCCATGCAGTACTACAGTCTTCCTCTTCTTCAGCTCCAATAAGATCGATTATTCCTTTGTCAAGAAAATACTGGAACGGATACTTTCCCCCTTTAAATGCTTTTATCTTGTTCAAATTCTCAACTACCAAGAGAGGGCGTAGGATCCTTCCAGCATCAGAATATACTCGTACTTCTCCTTGCTTTTCATCTCTTTTGATTTCCACCTAAGACAAAATCGACCAGTGTTAGGTATCCATCATAAAAATGCATGCTAATTTCTTATTAGTGAAGGAAAATAACTGTATAAATAGCGGGTGATATGAACTGATTCTAATAACTGAGATATGCATCAAAAGTGCATGTTGCTTACTAGTGAAAAAAAAAAAAAAAAAAAAAAACCCGTTGTATGAAGAGCAGTTAAACTAAATTTTTTCCAATAACGCAGACATCCATCATCTATCTGCTTACTACTAATTAAAACTATTACAGAATTAGCAGGTAAACTAAAACTTTGAGAATTACATAAAGATTGACTACTTATAAGCAAAGAATGAGCAAATTAAAATCCCTAATTAAAGGACAGAAGTATCAAACAGGAAGGAAATAACAACCAACTTAATAAAGCAAGTGCAAATAGATCAGGAAAGCATTCAACACCGGCTAGCTTCTTGGGAATCAAATAATATACAATTATGATGTATAAACTTGTACTCAAGAGACCAACCAAAAAATGAAAAAGGTTATACTAAAACACAAAATACTGTGATCAACAATGCTCCTAAAGTTGTAGTACAAGATTATTGTCTGAAGGTCATCTTTACAGTGTAATTCAAATGTCTGCCTAAACTGAAGCAAAAAGAAATTATGGCCATCATAACAAGACCAAAGCAATTTGAAATTTGAAACTCATCAATGGGATTGAACAAGAGAAAACCTGAGGTGGCAACTTTTTCCTACGTCGCATCCTCCTGAGTTCCGAGACAAATGAGAGGGAATCTTCACAAACTCCAACCCAGTCCCCATTCAGAAAAACTTTGAGCTTCCCTTGCAGTGAGGTAGAAGTATCATCCACCAATTTCTCCATTCCACAGAGAGACAATTCAGGTAGTAGAGATTCCAATACATTCGTACTTACTAATCCAGTGGTGGCCAAATTTTTTACAAGCCCACAATTCTCACCATCTGGGGTTGAGAGAAAGCAAACTTTCCCCCAGTGAGAAGGATGCCTGCATCCACAAGGTTCAGTAAGCCACAATTTCAATTTGTCCAAATATCTCACAAACAAAAAAGCAGTAAAGCCCCCAAGGATTTAGTGCAGCAGATATTTATTAGAGCATGTAGTTAGTAAGAGAATGGCAAACAGCTTACAGTAAATAATTTCATCCCAATGAAATCTAAACTCATTTACAACAAAAAAGAACTAAATGTGTTTTTGGTGTTGATGTATAGAATGGAATAACAAAGGTTCTAATAATGTAAAGAAGAACTTTAAGCTGAAAAAAAAGAAAGAAACAAATATCTATGAGCAGAGCATTTTTAAGCTAAAGCTATATTCTTTGAACCGCCGACTAGGATAAAGCTATTGCACGACAGCAGGAGACAAAAGTTGAGAGAAGTTCAAAGTTACTCACGGGTATCTTGCATCTCCAACCTTCCCTGTATATTGAACCTGCTGCCTTGTCTTCCGCATATCAATCATTGTCTGCAGCGGATTCGCTCGCCCAACATTAGCCACTACACCAGACATCCTCTCCATTCTCTTGAAGGGATGACACCATGCTCCAGTTGAGAATGCTCTCGAGATGCCATTAGTAACTATGGAGGCATCTAGGTAGTGTTCAATTGGCCGCACAACCCGATCACCGTAGAGGTCTCTCTGCAAGGCCTTTGCCATGCGCCGCCTTGCATGTCCAATATGCGCCTTTAGCTCTCGTTCGAGAAGCTCACCTGCCAAGTCCAACCTCTTGTTCCTAAAGTCATCCCTATTGTCGCATTTCCTGCGACCAGCGGAGGCTTGTAACAGGGACTTCACCATATACCCAAGAAAGCGAGCCTTTTGCTTTAGGCCTCTGAGATTGGGAAAAAGATACAAGCTAATGCACTCTTCGATGCTTTCCCCAGGTGGAAATGCAGTTTTCTTTATCACATCATCCACATATTTGAGGGCATTCTTCCCCCTACGGAAGCCCCCATCCACTTTTTCAGTAGCTTTATCGGCATCGCGAATTGAGGCAAAAAGTATGTTCAAAATGCTGGCATCTTCACTACCATAATCAATCAGATCAATAACTTCTCTATCCGATGAAACGCCAAGCGCAAAAAACCACACCCACACAGGGATTTCTGTCGACATGAAGTAAACGGTAAGGACTTTCTCTACTCCTTCAATGTTTTCAAGTTTAGAAATTCCGACTAGTCTAATTATTAACCTATGCCTCTTCACCTCTGACCTATATGCTACCGTCAGACCCTGATTATTTGTGATGAGAAGTTTCTTCAGACAACTCTGTTCTTGTGCAATAAAGGTCTGCATTTACATCATACAAATGTCACTAAAACTGCGTAAGAAAAGAAACATTACATTGCATAGCAGGGTCCCATTAAACAATTTTAAATCCACTAAGTAGCATTGAACAAACAAAAATCCAGAAAAGTGATAAACTGTCATTTCTACACTTAGATCATCTGCAAACTTCATATGCAATCAGAAATAATGAGTCATCTGCATGTCAGAAATTAAAGTAATTATTGGGCTCACCTTCTCTGCACCCTTGATTATAAAATAGCCTCCATGATCAAAATCACAGTCACCTTTCTCAACGTCCTTCATCCAGCATAAGTCGGACTTCACCATCACAGGGACACTACCAACTGTAATGTCTCTGGTATCTGTACTTAAAATTTCCTTGTCAAGAAATCGTTCTTTTCCAGTCTTAAACTTATCGCTACTGACAAGTCGTTGATTATATACCTGACAGATTACAAATATTCCATATATTATGAGACATTATGAAATGGGGAGAAAAAAAGAAATATTTTAAGATTATTATCTTCCAAATTGGTTGTCAAGATAGAAACTACACAAAAAGGACACCCGCCATATTATATGATACAGCTGCATGATAAATCAAACTATGGTATCATGATTTGTAATTATAGTATGTCAAGTAAAATTCAATACTTTTGCGAATTAGAGCTCGAAATCATAACTAGATAAGTTGGACCATCCACATCATGAAAAAATGTCAAAATGAGACATCAGAACTGCACTAAAATTAATTTCATGCATCTACTTAACTTAATTATCAAATTCATTTACCTCGACGGTGATATTCACTTTCATCTTAGAGCAGTACGTCATGTTCTGAAGTCGAGCATGCCTAGGCAACATATTATACTCCTTATCATTGTCAGAACCACCCCAAAAACTTGGCCTGCCAAGGGTAACAGTCCCAAACTTCACTAAAGCATAGCGCCATTCGTTATCTCCCTTCTTCGACGGGTCATAGCCAGGCTCAACTACAATCTCACCAAAAGAACTGAAGACCCTTTGTATGCCATTTTTTATGAAGTCGTTGTATGAGTTGATTTGATGACTAATGAGGCCATACTCGTTGAAGAATGATGTTGCTGCCTCCTTGCAGAAATTCTTCAGAAGTCCTTCCCCCAGGTCGTTAAGGCTAGTCGAGTAATCGTGTTCATCATCATAGTCACTATCGTCGATGTCCATGTCAACACCATTTGTAAAACTTTCTCCCTTGCTGCTCATACCGATATCTCCCTTGGCATCCGACGACGCCCCCATTGGATCCAAAATCTGTCAATTAAGCAAAGCATAATATGATGAACAAGTTATATAATATCAAATTAGCAAACTTAAAAAAGCTTAAACCCTACCTCACTAAACACATAAAAAAAAAACGTGAATTCCTCCAGAAATGCTCAAAAATTCAAAAATAAAACAGATAAATTCACAAATTTATCATCAAACAGCTCTGCTTCTAGAAGAAACTCATGGCCGGAAAAATAACAAAGAGAAAATTAATTATATTATATAATTGTAAACAGAGAGATGAATACGTACTTACAGTGAGCTCGATCGGAGTGAAAAATGAACCCTAAAACCCCTGACAGTAGAAGTGTTGGCTTCGAACTCTCCAAAATTAGGGTTTACAAGCAATGCATGTCAGATTTTTGGGGATTTTTTTTCAATCTCTCACTCGCTGCGTTGAGAAGAAAGAGAGGAGAGTTTTGGATTGTTGTAACGTACCAGTCAGCAGTAGTGACTACTGAGCTCTCAGCTCCTCCATTTTCGTAGTATTAATTATTATTTTTCCGCTTCCGAGTCACGACGACGACGTACTGGGGAAATGGTTTGGGCTTTCTTATAACGGGCCGTGGAAAATGAGCCAAGTTTGGAAAAAGTAGCAACCCTATTAATTAGCCTTATTTTTGGGTAATGCCTTTTTCTGAAACAAAAATATTTTCGTTTTGCATTCTAACATTATATTTGGATAAAGGAAATAAATTTGAAATTTGAATAAAAGTCGGAATTTATAAATTGACATGCACCAATTCTTTTGTTTGGATTCATAAACATAAAAATTTAGAATTTTCGCGTGGAAAAAAACTTGGAATTTGAGACCTCCGATTCTCAAGTTTAAATTTCATGTAAATAGGTGTCATTTCCCAATTTTTATGATTGAGAGTTTAAAAATAACAAATTCTGTATTCAATTTCATTGTTCTTTTAGGTTAACCAAACAAGAAAATTCACAAATTCTAGAGAATAAAATCTCGTCATTTCAATTACCATCATTTTAAAATTTCTTAGTAATCTTAAATTTTTTCATCCAAACATAGTGTAAAATTCATGATTCGTTCCCTTAAAATCCTGGTTAAATTTGCCACATCATGTTGTTGGGCCTCTTTTTTTTTAATTATATAAAATGAAACTCAATCATCAACTACTACATCATGTAGTCTATAAAAGATTGATCTAAAATTTAGTCTCTTTAGAACGTTTCATTGGTAAAATACGGGTATGATTCCTTCTGTAATTCTTGCTAGTTAAAATGGTAAATACACATCTCCAAACACACAAGGATACATTACGGACTTAGTATTATTATTTAACCATGTCATCAGTCCGAGAATGAATGACGCCGTAAGACAATAAAAAGTTCAAACCTGAACCCTTCATCACTACAAGATTTTGAACACAAAAAAAATTCATCACACTTTGAATCTAGTCTAGGCGGCGAAGGAGATACTCAACTTGAACAAGCTTCGTGAGCGGCATTATCCATTCTTCGTAGAGGCGAGAAACTACCGACGGATCAACCTTGTATTTTTCACTTGCGTTGTGTTTGTCGGTTTTAGCATTGGCATTGTCAACTAGGCTTACTTCTTGCCCTAACACCTTTGCCTTCTTCGCAACTCGTTTCTTCACCATCTCTTCCACATCCACAAATGTCAACAATTTCATCAAACCGTCCCTATCCTGAAAAATTCAAACCCTAATTTCATTTAATTTTCTGCTCAACAAAACACTTCCCAAAAGGTAATTCACAAGCGGTCAATGTGTAAAATACGCCAAGCTCAACTTCCACTTGTTAAATTACAATCAACCAACTAACCTGATCGCGAATTGCTGGTTCGTAGTCTTGAGGGGAACCCTTGAATTTAACCTCGGCTACATAGTATCCGTAATGAATCCGTCTAGAGATGGCCTGCAGGTGAAATGACATTCAGTTCAATGGAAATACATATGCGGTCAGTTAATTTGAATTGAGAATTTGAAGCAGTAACTGCTTCTTTCTAGATGCATTCTTAAACAAATCTTACAATATGTAACATGTGAGTTTGAAAAGTGCTTTTACAAAGCACTCATGAGTTAGGCATGAAAAGTATGATTGTTTTTTTAGATAACAACCGAGATGTACTTTTACAAAAGTACAAGTGCTTTTACATAAGGGAAAATGATCATCTCCGAATCCACTTTGTAGAGATTCTAGAGATCCTCGTATTATAGTTGTACATCGTACGATTAGTTTTTATCAGATACTATTTGTGTTTAATTTAAAATAAAAAATTAGATAATTTTTAACCGCACGATACATAATAAATGACTAAAATGTGAAGATTCTTAGAATACCCACAAAGTGGATCCGGATGGAATCTAATTCGAGCTTATAAACATGAACATAAGTGCTTCCGTACTTGAGAATCACTTTACAAACTAAACATTAGTGGCACAAACACTTCACCAACCGCAATAGCATTATATTATTAAAAGCTTTAACGAAAAATCACATTTTAACACTAAAAAGTCAATCTTGATACTATTCAATTTACCTTTATTTTGTCTTTTTCGTTAAAATTCAAAATTTTCTAACAATTTTCTTTAATTTTCCTTATATTATTCCTACACAAAAAATAATTAAAAATCAAATGTACCTGTAAGCAGTCAAGATCACTAGAAGCAGCTGATGCATAGCTTCCATCGTCGCCGGGGGCAGCAAACAGAGGAAGCAATTCGTCGAAATAGAACTCCCAAATCTTTTCGTTTATGTTAATCGAACCTGCAGCAGGATGCAATACCTATACAAAATTTAACCCAATTATTTTCCCAAAAATTATAACATTCAAACGAAAGAATTAAACTTTCTGGGTAAATCCAATCACCGGTGGATTTGCCGGAGGCGGTAGCAACGAAAGGGGTAAACTTTTCGGGAAAAACGGATGTTCTTCTGGATTTTCATACCGACCAACCTGTTAATCAAGAGATAACGTTAGTGACAGACATAAATAATCATTGTGAGCTCGGATGTTCCCAAAATGTACAGAACAAGATCGGACAAAACAAAACAATCCACGTGATTACGAAGAATCCGAGAGAGAAACTTGCGGGATATCACGTCACAAAGTGATATTCAAGCCAATTAGGTACTATCATTGTTTTAATCGCACGACAATGCACGATTGAAATTGAATTAAAAATACCGTCACCGTGATATCCCAGTTTCTCGGAAACTAATCTCGAGACGGAGATTATCGAAATGCAAAATGAGTATAATTACCTTGGATTGGAGGGCTTCTGTCTCCTTGACAACGAATTGAAGGAGAGAACCAGGAAAAGATGGAAACTTTCCTTCGTCGTACGCCGGAGAATTCAAAGGGAAGTTTGCTCTCTGAATCAGCCGGGAAATTATGGTGTCTTCTTGTTTAATCAATGCCTCTCTCACTTTCTCGAGCGTCAAAATATCACTCTTGGAGTTCGATTCAGCGGCCATTTCAATGTGTATAAAATGTAGGGAAACTGTGGACAGCACACTTTTTTTTTTTTCTAGGGTGATTTTCTCGGGAAACAAACAGAAAGTTAGAAAGAGCGGAAAGAAAGGAAAATTTGGAATCTTTGCTTAGTGGGAATGAGAGGGAGGAGGTGGTGGTGGAGGGTTTTTTAAGCGGACGGAATAACAGAGCGGGAGGGGGTGGGGGACCACGTGCGTAAACACGGTGACGTGTTTAGGCTCGGCGTGGGAATCCAGCCATAACGTGTCGCGACGTGATTGCACGGCGGATTTCTCGGTTAGTGGGGGCCAGCTGCAAAGGTCTCACGCGGGTTCACCGAATTTTAACCGTCGACGTCAATCATTGAAGAAAGTTTTAGTTATAATGGAACCAGGTGGTACACCGCATATTTTAATATGAATTATAAGAAATTTTATTTTTTAAGTTATTAACTTTTTAGCATAAATATCTCACTATTTGTTTAGTGACACTTAGTATACCACCCTATGTACCAGTCACACTGAAAAATCTCTCCAACCAACGGATATGTAGAGTCAGCAAGAAGTCAGATATTCAATCCATAACAAAATAAAAAAGAATTCTTCCCGTAATCTAAATCGACTCATATTATCATGATGATGATCTTTAAAAATGAAAACCAATTAAGGTAGTCTTTGAATATGATTGTCGCAAATTAATGTAGTATTTTCGTTAAAATTTCATCAAAATATATGTTAATATGTTGATATGGCACATATGTGTACTTACCAGTCTATTAAATATTGCATACATATGGCAACATTTAATAAACTTATAAGTCCACATATGTGTCATATCAGCATATTAACAGATAGTTTAACGAAATTCGAAAATACTACATTAATTTGCGAGACTCATATTTAGATACTACATTGACTAATTTTTATTTTCAAGGATCATCATGATGGTATAAGTCAACTTCGGATATTACTTGTGATAAAAACTCAAAAATAAAATAAAAACGTGGAACACAATGATCAGAACACTATCGAGAGATTTTTTAATGTAATCAAATATGGGGGAGAGATTTTAATAAAGTGTTTCAAAATAAAATTTAGACACCGCAAAATAAAACAAAGTTAAGATATTGTAAAGTGAACGATAAAACTTGAAGAATTAGTTGAATAGCAGGTTGGAGTTACAAAATTTTAAGGAAACAAAAAAAACACCAAATGAGTTAGCAAAGGACAATTTTAAAGAAAAATTTTACTAACTCTTTTTAAAAATACTCTTGACACATATATCACTATGTAGTTGACATAATATCACCACGTAACGTAAAGAGAAATTCATGTACATAATTTTATCATTGCACAAGACATTAAAATGACGATATGACGGTGTCATAGAAATTATATATTGGGGGAAGCTTCTAAACGAAATCATCCAATTATTGTACCACCATAAACCTTAATATTATAGACCCAAATTATATTACATGTGTTGTTTGTAAGCTAAGTCACATTTTAAATCCATTTACTTCCCAACTGCTAAAGATGATGTAGTGTGAAACTGAAATCTCAGATTTGAAACTAAGACGATGTCTATGTCACAGCATGTGTGACATCAACTGGTCTCTAATTTTTAAAATTTACTTTCAAACAAATTTTCAATGTGGAATAAATCTTCATAGTTGTTTGATGGGAATGGTCAGTTAACCGACTGTACAATCCACCAACTACTCATAACAAATGTTATTCCCAATTGGATGAACACCGGTTCAAATATTATAGTGTTTTTAAAGAGTTTGTAGCTCAAATAGTTCATATCGTATATACTTGCACCGAAATTTTGTACTTCATACCACCGTCCCTAATACCTTCTGACAAAAAAAAAAATAAATAAAAAAACAGTAGTGTCCAAAGCCCAAACAACATATGCGTCCTTTCACATCCAATTGCATTACTTGCAGCAGCAGCGTGTAGAGAAGACAAAATTGATTGCTTGTGTTCGAAGAAAAGGCCTCAGGAAAACACATGAATTGCTTGTGTTCGAAGAAAACGCCTCGAGAAAACACAGTTTTCAGGGCAAACTAAAGACTTCAGAAACTACTCTAAACAGCCTCTTGGTATCACCTGGCTGAGCAAATTTTCATCCTTCATCCGTAGGATGCCTCAAATCGTCCTTTGGTGTTACTGCCGTCGGTAAGAAGACTCACCTATGATAGTAACCACAAACCAGTTTATTCAACCTCACCCTTTGCTACTGGTGGCTCTGGTATCCTTACTCTTTCTGGATGCTATGCTATTAATTGGGTTTATGGCTTCGAAGCAGAAATACCTTCGCATTATGCGATAATTACCCTGTACAAGATACGCATAAAATAAAAGTGACATTACATTCGCGAAGCCCGTCTCTAGCTGAATCACCACATTTTTTCGGGTGACATGAAAAATCTAACACGAGTCAAATAGCAACTTAAACGGTTAAACCGAAAACAATCAATTTCCCAATGGTTTTTCAATATACAATTTTGCAAGCTCTGGAGTTTTGATTGAGAGAACAAGGATGCACAAGATATGTAAAAAGCAGAACCAAAACATAGACAACACTTTTTAACAATGCCAATTGGTAACAGAATTCAAAAGCAACTGTACAGTTTGGTTTTCTCACCTAAACAAGTGAAATGTACTCTCCGAACTGTGCTGGGAAGCACCCGACGATGAAGGATCTAGATGGTGGTGCGATGTTAGTGCTGCAGACGCATTTTGTCTCCACCACGAAACCTCCATTTCCTTCTCCTGAAGCTTGCCCTTCATGTACTCTAATGCAACTTCGAGTTCCTTTATCCTTTCTTCCTGACTCGCTTCCAGCAGTTCGTGCAGCCTTCTCTCGAGTTCGAGTGCAGGTACTCCGAAGTCGCAGGGCATTTCGTTATAATCTGCTGGTTCTGCTTCATGAGTGTCCATTTCTTCTCCAAAATCTGAGGTACCATCATCGCCTGTTCCATGAGCTGTGTCTTGAACAGGCTGTAATTTTTCACATTCAAGCATTTGTTTCATAAGATTAATCAATCAAAACATCAGTTGAATTCAATCAATGATAAATCACTCCGTACCTTTAATCTTCGCTGCTGCGTGTAGTTTGAAATGGATGAATGATTATCCGAATCCAATTCTAAACGGAGCTGCAATCGTTCCAACTCCGCTTCAAGCTCTGCCTCGAGTTGATCCATTCCCTTCACGCATTTATCCCTTTCTACTTCTCCTTCTCCATTTCTAACATATTCCGAGCACACTTCCCGGACCATGCCAGATTGAAGCGAAAACTGGCTCTCAGAGCTCGAACTCGAAGCCTGTTGGAGATCGGTTGTGGAAGAAGCAAAATTCATCTCATTCGACTCCACCGGCCTGGAATCGAAACGCGAATTCGTGCTCTGCAATTCCTCTTTTGCATTTTGAAGCAACTGCTCCATCTCCGCCCTCAACTCCGCCGTCTTTGCAAGCTCATTTTTACTGGCGACGATCAGATACACCAAACCGCACGCAACTCCCAAATTGACTGAGCTCACATCTTTCACAATCTGTCCTGGATTTTACAAAATTCAATAATTAGTACTAAAATCTTCAAAAACTCGACAATTATATCAAGAAACTCAAATTCTGATTTGCTTACTTGGTTCTGTTTCCTCGCCACCGCCGTTCAATCCATTCGTCGAACAGGTGGCGTGCGTTGACTCGTCTCCAGTCTCCCTCTCCGTCGTTGCAACCTCTTTCGGTCTCTTCTGGCTCCGTACGGCCTCGCATCGCCTCCGTTTGCCTTGCTTCAGAGTCGACAACCATCGGGAAATGATACGGCGCGGGGAGGACCACTGTAAGGCCATGAATCCGTCGTCGTCGTCGTCGTTGTCCTCGGGGAGGTGGGGCGGGTGTCCAACCATATTGCAGTCTCCGGAGCAATCGTAGCCGTCGGTTTCGGATCCCAATTCTTCATCAACGAGAATGTCGGCGATGCGGATGTGGCGGGTCTTGGAGTAACGGAAAGGCGGGAGAATGTTTAGGGTTTTAAAGAAGGGATCGTGGTCGTCCTTCTTCTTCTTCCTCATCTGAATTAAATGCGACGAACCAGTAACAGTGTGTAGAGAGAGAAAGTGAGGAGAGAGAAAGAGAGAGAGAGAGAGATTCAAATGTGGTGAAAAATGGAGGGAAGCTCATCCATGGCGTCAGGAGGCTGCAAACGTCCCTAGGGTTTATAAGATTTCCAATTCTGATAATAAAATTGGTAATTTTGAAAATTATGATTATCAGGGACGGATTTCATACCCAAAAATTTAAAATAAAACTTTTAAGATTTGAAATGTGTGTGTGTGTGTGTGTTTTTTTTTTTTTTTTAATTATTAGGAATTATTTTGATTAAAGTATATGAAATGATGGTTGCCGCGTTTGACAACAATTCCACAAGTACAAAATTCACGTCATGATAATTCCTGGTCATTAGCTAATTAATTTATTACAAATCCAACAAACAAACAAAAACTATTTCTAAATGAATAAAATTAATAGAAAACTAAACCATATGAATTGATACAACCTTCACAAATCACAACTATTCCATCCACATGGTTGGAGAAAAAAGTTAAACACTACTCCAATTTGATCGATACATACACATATATAGGGTGCAACTCAGGTGGGTTGGAAGGTAAACACAATCCTAACTCAACTTTTACAATTCAGTTCGGGTTGAGTTTCATTATGGTTTATTTGGGCTCATGTTTAATTGGGTTATGGTTTACTTGGGTTGATTTCGGGTTGCACAATTTTTTAAGTTTAATCTTGTAACAACTTAGTTTCCAATAAGCCCTAAAAAAATTAAGCCAAGTAGCATCAAAGCTAGCTAACTTTAATTTCATAAATTCATCTACTACTAGCCTCTCTGCACGTACTAACGTGCGTGCGAGAGGCATTTTGCATCACGGGCGCTACGCGCCCCACAAATGTGTTATTTTAAATATTCTTATATTTCTTAAGTGGTTACTTTATAAATTGTGGGTGTGGGTCATTCACAACAATTTCTTATTATTTTCAATCATCTCCAAAGAATTCCTAAATATTATTTAAAAATTAATTGAATGCAAATATGTGATTAAAACTGAAAATGGAGAGAGAATGAAAATTGAAAACATGAATTACTAACCCAATAAAAAATTCGATTGTAGGAAAAGAATCTGTTTTGAAAAAGATTTTCACCCTAAAATTCATCACCATCTATTTGTATAAACAATGAAGAAGCAAAACTGAAGAGAACTGGTTGGATTAATTGGAACACTGCCAATTTCATTGATCCTTCTTCCCATGCGAATAAGAAATCAAATTGAGTATCTATTATAGCTTTAAATGTAAACAAAAAGTATTAAAAGGCTTACTAAAACTATTAAAGCAAAAAACAACATTAATTTAAATTTTGAACAACCTGATTTCTGCATTTTTCTTTTGTGTTCTTCTGTGTTCTTTTAATGAATAAATTTAGAATACATCTGTCCACAAACACGTTGATCTCTAACACATCAAATGATATGAATTACAAAGAACATGAATATAATGAGTTCTATCATAGTAATGAACAACATATAAGGCAATAATTGTGCAAATGGTTCTTCCCTGCTTGAAAATATAGACGAATTACTTCCAAACAGAAATACATTGGCATCAAATACGTGTGAAATCAAAGCCATGCTTGCCACCCATTTGCTTGCACTTGATGCTTTAGATTTTCATGGTTAATCTGCAAACAATGATGATAAAATAAGAAGTCTAACTATAATGCACAATCCCAAATATAAAGGTTGTAAGCAATTTAACCTAAATACCTTTAACTTTGACAATTTTCGGATGGCAATACTTTTACTCCAGTTACTTTTAGAATACTGAAAGATATATAATTTGTCAAGTTTGAGGTAACAAATTGTAATCATGTTTACAAAATTAAATAGTAAGAAATGTTACCTTAATCTTGTACTTCAACCTTTGTACTTTGAAACGGGTGTGATGCTTATAAAACTGACAAAAAAATGCAATTTTATTTCTATTTGAAAATTGAATGCAATTTGAATTTATAGTATACTTCCGTATGAAAATAAGAGAATACTTACCGTATTTAGAAAAGTTGTTTGGTCACTATTAATCTTTTTCCTGCACCCATAAATTGTTTTTTTTATAATTCGAGATAATTAATTTGTAGATTTTTTTTTATTTTTTAATTTGAGATAATTAATTTGTAGAATGATATAGACAATGCCATTAAAAATAAATAGGTAAGAAATTGTGTTGTACCTAATTTGTTGGACTTTATTCCAAATTCGTATGATGCGAGGAGTTGTTGAAGGTTTTAATTCTTCTACAGCCTTTTTCATGCGCCACCTATACATTGAAGGTACATATAATGTTAGAATTTCTTGTAACAAATTTAATAAAGAATTTAGAATACATACTGCTCATGCTTCTTTTTTTTCCAATCTTTGAGAATCAGTTGGCTTAGATCAATAGTTTTTACTTCGACATATATCTCCCAACCAGGTGTAAAAATAGAGACACGTCTGTTTGAGATCTTATCAATAGGTAGTTTCTTCTCCATTTTTTTGTGGGTATTCTTGTAAATATCCTGAGAATGAAAACAAATAATTTTTTTAATTTCCATAGCACATGTATAGGACATCAAGATAATCAAAATTGAAACTCATAATCTGACCAAAATTAAAAAATCGCACAATGAAAATTTCAAAGGAAGAAGTTTAAAAAACTAAAATTGACTTAGAAATACTAAATACAAACTCATATATACATCCTGAAAGCTGCAGTAGACCGCATCAAATTCATCACCTAAAAGATAAACCATAAAAAAAACCTAAAAACTGAAAAGGTAAATTTAGATTGAGATTTACCCAATGTTACTCAAACCTTTGAACTTTGGAGCCTAAAAGAATCGTCTTGACCCTATAACAAAAAGGAGAGAGAAAGAATAAGAAAATTGAAATAAAAAGCACCAAGATTTTAACCACAAAAGCTATAGCACATACGTTTCAAAAACCCGTGAAGAAAAATAAAAAAAATGAAAGCCTAACCTATCAATTGATTTATTTGATAAGATAAGGGAAGAAAAACCTGCAGAGAACAAAAACCACAATCAAACCACTACAATTAACGTGCAGAATTTTCAATAATCCTGTGAAAATGCATGAGAAGAATAAGGAATAAGAAGCATTTTGATAGAGAACAAAACACACAAATTTAATAATTGAGAACTACAGAACTACCAGTTCTTATTGGTTTTTGGCCAATTTGATCTTCTCCTTCAGGCTCTAGCATAACATTTTGAATTTGTTATCTTGAGGTTATTTTATTTCGTGTTTTATTTACATGTCCCGCAAAACCGGTTCCTCTCCCACGTTTGCTTTATTTTCATGCACGTTCGCGTTTATCGTTCTTCAAAACTGTTTCCTTCACACACTTCAAGCCTGCAACTGCTGAATAGCAGTTCTATTCTAAACGTATTAGGTCTCTTTTTATTTTCTTTTTTGTTTTATTCCATTAGCAATAACATGAGAGCAAAACTGAAAGCAGTTTGAAAAAAGCAGTCTCTCTCCCACGTTTCTTTCCTCAGTTTCCACTATTTTTTAATTTTATTTTGTTTTTTATTGGTGTTTTTACTGCATCTGTCTCTTTGTGTTTTCAACCTTTTCTTTTAAATCAAGACCAGTTACCAACATTGCATTCGTCAATTATCAATTACGTGGACTTGTTTTACCAGTATTCGGTTTAATTTCCTTTTTTTTTTTTTTTTTTTTGTATTTCTTGCTCTCAATTTTTAGTAAAAATTTAGTTTTTTCCTTCAATACAGTTTTATGTTCGGTTATAAGTTTTTTACCAGTTTGTCCTCCTTTTTTAGATTTTTGGTTTTTGATTGTGAAGGAAACATAGGGATATTCTTGGTATTTTGGAATGTTTCACCAAATTGGGGCTCTCCCTTTATATATATAGATAAAGCTTTAGAATTTAGAGACTACAAATATGGGAAGACTAATCAAAGTCTCTTATTCCTAAAAAGCTTAAGTAATTATAAAGGATAATTTATTTTTTAAAAAAAACTAACGAAAAATCCAAAAAAAATTCTCTTTTAATGAAAAGTCATTTTTATAAGTATAGTGAATAGTACCAGGGAAATGTATAAATGTGGTTTTTCGTTAAAAGTGAACAGTACTGGAAGTGTTTTGTTAAAACTCCCAAAAAAATATTGGAAAGTGCATTGGTTTTTGGACTTAGCTCACTTAGGTGCAGTATGAGCATTAATTGATATGAGTTACAATCTGGTTATATTAGGTTTGGTTAGTCGGGTTGGGTTAAGTTGAGGATGGACAGGCAAATGATCAACCCAACTTAACTCAATTAATGCACGAGTTAAAATTCGGTTGGATTCGGACGGGTTATAACTAAAAAAAAATCCACTTGTTCGGGTTTAAAATCTGATTGGACATGGACGGGTTTTGATTGGCCCAACCCAAGTTGCGCCCCTACACACACACACACACACACACACATATATATATATATATATATATATTGGATGCTACTTCCACACAACCTTTATTAATTTTTGTTATTTGATTCTTTTTAATTTATTTGATCTTACGACCATAAATGAAAAAGCAATACCCTATATATATCACCATGGACTCACGTTACATGCTTGATTTAGAAGCAATTTTCTTCAATAAAGCGTTTTTTCTTATAAGCAATTTATTAGAAGTACGTCAAAATTTTTATTAAAAATTCAATTACCATTTTTATTTATTTTATTATTATTATTGAGAGGAAGCGAAAGTTTCAAACTTGAAACGTATAGGTAGAAACTCAACACCATATATTCTAAGATATTCAAGTACCATGAACCTACATTCATAAAGCATTGCACGAATAATTTTGAACACCGCTACTTTAACGTCTCCATTTCATATTAAAGTCTTGAAAAATACAAATAATTGGTTTACTTTTTAGGTTTTGAGCTATTGCTTTGTCGCCCCAAGTTTTGTGCAACATGTTCGTCGTGATAACGACATACGGCCAACCAAATAATGAAAATCTATTAGAGTGCTCCTCAATTATTTGATTAGTTGTCTTAATTTTAATTATCTTATATCCATGTACAAATTTACGGATTTTGGTCGGAATTGTGGACATCCAAATGATTGAAAATCCGTAATTATGTTCCGTTTAAAAAATATAATCCGTGCTTTTTTTGTTGGTCAATGAATATTAGTTGGAAAAATGTTTATGTTTGACCAATCTGGTATGCTTCCTCTCATTCTTCAGGTTAAATTTTTGTAGTATTACAGTTCCTCTTAACTAAATAATTTCCATGGCGTCACTCAGTTTTGTTTTATGGTGATTGGATTTAACGGTAACAAGTCACTGACGTTGACAAATATTACAAAATCCAACATCTTTAAACAGTAATTAAAAAAATGAAGCAAAATGACAAGTTGTATTATCACATTTGTCCAGGCAGTGTGGAACAACGTAGACTTTTTGGTTGATCCCGGACCCCAAAATGATGGACTAGCGTAGCGAAGTCACCAGCTGACTCTTTTTTTTTAATGCCTCATTAACTATGCAATATGAACATTAAGCTAATGTAAATACTTTGTTTTCAAATTGTATGAATATTTATATTCTTTGTTTTCAAATTGTATGAATATTTATATTTTATACTTTAGTTTTTGTTAACTGCAGATTTAGAATGTATGATCTCTATCGTTAGGCATTCATCTTGGGGGAATGCTAGCAACTTTCTAACTTAAACCTTCTCGGCTCTATTAATCATCTTGCAATGTTGCTTGATGACCAGAATTGTCCATTATTTGTATAACCTTTCCACTATGCAAAAAATCAACCAAAGCAAAATCATTTAATTGTTCAATTGACATTGTCAAAACTTCAGTGTTTAAGTGAAAACATGGTTCGTCTATTTATTGGATAATAATTAGATGACCAAACGATTTAGAATTTAGTTCATTTAGATGAAAAGTAATCTATAAAGTAGACGATTTTGATCATCAAACAACATTACAAGATGGGAATGAGAGTCAATAAGATATAACGAAATATCTCAAACGAGAAGATTGCTACATTACTTTACATTTGTGTGACTTGAACTAAAAAAGTAAACCAATCCAAATTGATAATACTCATCTATAGTGCCATATAAATTATATCTACATTATAAGTACTTTGTTTACTAACGAATATAAGATATTCATCCATTAGCAAAATAAAATAAAGGCATTATATATTAGTTTGTTAAGCTCAATGACGTCATTCGAAAGTTTGAGGCATAGTGCATTCTGACGTTGAAAATAATAATATACGAAGTCTAACTTTTGTATTGATCATAATCAAATACTTACTACATATCGATTAAATATTAAAAAATTTAAGTAACTAGATTTATAATTTCACCATTTCAACAAATTTTCCTTGTATATTTAACGATTTAAGTTAGAAACATTGCAATCTAGATAGTGGGGTTTGCATTACAAAGTATTGCATCACGAATCATAGTATTACGGACAAACCAGCCCAAGAACACGAATTCGACCTCTAGCACCACCATCGCTGTAAGCCGTCGTGATTTTGAACGTTGTTGTAATCTCAATTTCACGTGTTTTTTTTTTTTCGTTGAAAAGAAATGATAGTGTGTGGTATTTCATTAATCAATACAAACAAATACAAGAGTGACATTAGGTACAATGCTTCAATGACTAATAAATTGATCTGGAGTGAATTTGCGCAAACACACAAATAAGAGTAAACCCCTAGTAGACTACCATAAGCACGAACACACAATCGCCAAGCTCACAAGCACAACATAATAGTTCATCTACCACGACAATTTTACCACGAACTTTATGAGCTCGTTATAAAAAGTACAAATTTACCACGGGCATAATAAGCACGTAGTAATAACAAGTTTTTATCACGGACAAATCTTAGCTCGTTGTAAAATAACAGTAAATGACTACGCGCAAAATTGAATGTTATAAATATACTAAAACCATCATGGACAATGACACACCCCGTCCTGAAGAAGGGCATGCTGGCCGTCACGTGAGAGTGACGTAACCATTTGCACAGTACGGAAGCTTTAAGATACAATTTAAGTTGATACACCCGAAGATGAGTCCTAATTTTGTCCAATCTGTCAGAACACCGTCGAATTCCTCGTAGTCACCACACATTTGTGATTCCTGAACCTGGAGGGGCGCAAAACCAAAATTGAGTGGGTCAGTAAAACAATTCTTTTCCAAATCCAAACATTTCTCAAAACGTTGTAACCCCTCTCCGTAAAACCTGTATACTTTCCCATAAATGTAAAATATAAATATACATATATATTCTCAAAACTTCATAACTACTATCTCAACATTTTTCTTTATCAATCATGCCATGCCATGTCTAATTCAACAGTTAAGTATGGATGCATCAACAATAATCATATCAGGTGCAAGAAAGTAATCAACCGGAGGCCCTCTACTAATGGCCCTGTACGGTTGAACCTAGAGCTCAAAATCTATCACTCTCACTCTGCCGGAGTCACCTCTGTGACCCGTCCGGCCTTCTGCACACAAGTTACGCTCTAGTGCTTCTCATAAATCATCTGTGCACATAATCTAAGGTCACCCACCAGTCGGAATCTCACTAACACTCTCGCGACTGGCCTGTCGTACCCACTCCGCGTGGACTGTACGACTAGCATCTACTTGGATCCAAGGCGAGCGTGCGATGCGGTGAATACTATAAGCACTAAACTATGGTGCAGGATTTGAGCTCAATATACATCAACATCATCATAACAGAAATAAATACTCACCTGTGCGTCCACCGCACCATTTCATACATATGCATCATAAATCAATTCTTACCTGTGCGTCCACCGCACCAATTCATACATATGCATCATAAATCAATTCTTACCTGTGCGTCCACCGCACCAATTCATACATATGCATCATATATTAATTCATGCATGGCATTTCAACTCACATTTCTATATACTTTTCATATCAATTCTATGCATGGTATTTCACTTCCCGTTTTTCCACATAACTCATATGCATTTCATTTTAAACATATTTTCATTTCAATTCAATTTCTGGGAAACGTCAAAAATATATATATACGGAAAACAAAACTGCCCACTCACCTGGAGTTCGTCCAACAACTCCCTAGCACCACACATCAAGGCGTCATGACGATCGCCGCCTAGAATAGTAATCAAATCCAGGCTCAGAATTCATATCGATAAAATATATAACTTATATAAAATACGTCACTACGTTGATCGATCCGGAAGATCTGCCACTCAGATTTTAAATCCATAACTT